CAGCTGGTACACAGTTAGACAGGAAATATTAGCTATTATTATATTTAAGAATCCACCAACATTTTGAGAAGAATGCTATTCGACTTAATTTGACACACATTAACTGAGTGTGCAAAGAAGTATGCTAAGTGCTTATGTAAATGCAAAGATAAAAAACATTCCCTAATTTCATAGAAATTACAATGTCATGGTCATAGATTTTTATAGCAGAAAATCTTACAGATTACTCACTCTAGCTCTCATTTAACAGATGAGGAAACTACCGCTTGAGAGTCTAGCTAAGCAAGTTGCCCAGAGTCATCCAGATAGTTAAGCGGAGGAGTCAGAAATAGAACCTGGATACTGGAACCCGGGCCAGTGCGGATCTCAGTTCCTGGGTGAGAAGAAAGGAAGCCTAATCCTGACAGTGATGTGCTGGTAAAAATTAACAACCAACTCTTTGTTGGGAGTATGTGTGTGTGTATGTGTATATATATATATTATATATAATATACTAATATGTATGTAATTTTATTTTAAACTTTACTAATATAAAGGATATGTAGCATACAGTTTATTAATTATAATAAAATATACAATATAATTTATAAGTTCCAACTGGTTCTCACAGAATGCTTTAGTTGATTTTTGCTCAATAACTATATCTATAGCCAAGCTATGGTTGCAATTAACTATAATTTGACAAACAGAGTTGTATCTCAATCCACTAACTCTTTTTTAAAAATTGCGGTAAAATAGGCATCACAGACTAGGTGCGGTGGCTCATGCAATCCCAACACTTTGAGAAGTTGAGGCAGGTGGATCATGAGGTCAGTTCAAAAGCAGCCTCGCCAACATGGCGAAACCCCATCTCTGCTAAAACTACAAAAATTAGCCAGGCACAGTGGCAGGCACCTGTAATTCTGGCTGCTTGGGAGGCTGAGGCAGGAGAATTGCCTGAACCAGGGTGGCAGAGGTTGCAGTGAGCCAAGACTGCGCCACTGCACTCCAGCCTGGGCAAGAGTAAGATTCCAACTCAAAAAAAAAAAAAAAAAAAAAGGCATAATATAAAATCTGCCATCTTAACAACTCTTAAATGTATAGTTCAGTAGTAGTATAAAGTGTATTCACACTGCTGTGCACCCAATCCCTAGAATTTTTCAACTTGCAAAACTAAACTGTATGCCCATTAAATGACAATTTGCTCTCTTCTCCCCTCAGCCCCTGGCAATCAATACTCCTTTACTTTCTGTTTCTATGAATTTGACTACTCTAGTTACTTCATGTAAGTGAAAAACAGTATTTGTCTTTTGTGACTGGCTATTTCACTTAGTTTAATGTCCTCAAGATCATTCAGGTTGTAGCATGTCACAAGATTTGCTTCCTTTTTATGGCTAGATAATATTCCATGGTATGTATATACCACATTTGTTTGTCCATTCATCTGTCGAAATATACTTGGGTTGCTTCTACTTCTTGGCTCTCAAGAATAATGCTGCTATGAACATGGGTGCACAAATATCTCTTCAAGACTCTGTTTTCAATTCTTTGGATATATATCCAAAAGTGGGTTGCTGGGTCATATAATAGTTATATTTTTAATTTTTTGAGGAATCACTGTACTGTTTTCCATAGTAGCTACACCATTTTCTATTCCCACCAGTAGTGCACAAGGGTTCCAGCTTCTCCATGTCCTCACATCCTTGGCAACACCTATTTTCTGCCTTTTTTTTTTCTAAGATAGGGTCTCACTTTTGTCACCCAGGCTGGAATGTAATGGTGCAATTATGGCTCACTGCAGCCTCCACCTCCTGGTCTCAAATGTTCCTCCTCCCTTACCCCCCACCTTCCCACCTCCAACAAGTAGCTGGGACTTCAGGCACACACCACCATGCCTGGCTAATTGTTTAATTTTTTATAGGGTCTTATTATGTCATCAGGCTGGTCTCAAACACTTGGACTCAGCTAATCTTCCTGCCCCAACCTCCCAAAGTGCTGGGATTATAGGAGTGAGTCACCACTCCAGGACTGCCTTTTTGATAGTAGCCATTCTAATGTGTGTGAAGCGATCCACTAATTCTAAACCAGTAATGATGATGTCATTAAGTCTGACATGTGATCTACTATTAAGCTATCTCCCACACTCATATGGATTATATTCATCAAATTAAAACTTTTTCTTGGTTGAGCATATTTAAGTTCAAACATAATAGTCAATACTGTGAGGGATTACTGAATCAGATAAATTTTCCGATATTGAAAAAATATATCCTCAATTTTGTGTGCTACTCACAATGTAACAGCTACTAATAAAACATGCTTTAAAGTTTAATTTGCATTTTTAACACTTTACCCATCACTTTTTAAAGTCTAGATGAAGGGTATGGAAACTTTTTCTATATTGGGACAAACAGTGAATATTTTAGGCTTTGTGGGTCTCACATCTCTGACAAAACTACTCTGCCGTGGTAGCATGAAACTAGTCCTTGACAGTACATAAGTCAATGGACATGGCTGTGTTCCAGGGAAACTTTATTTATAAACAAGAGAGAGCAGGCATGCCCTTGTTTACTGAATCCTGATTTAGATAATCAACAAAACAATAAATCAAGCTGTGTTGCTTGCCAATTTCCCTCCTATAAATACTCCTACCATTATTGAATTTAACATTTAAGTTACTGAAAGTAGAGTTAGAAAGAAATGCATAGTCGCATGCCATTTTTAGCATTCCTACCACTAATACAAATAGCCATAAATAACTTCAATGGCACAGATAATAGTAAAATGTAGTTAAATAATTAGGGAGTGATAAATTTTAAGTATTTATTACTTTTTTAAAAGCATAATTTTAGGCTGGGCACCCTGGCTTAAGCCTGTAATCTCAGCACTTTGGGAGGCTGGTGCTTAAGCCCAGGAGTTTAAGACCAGCCTGGGCAACATGGCAAAATCCCATCTCTACAAAACATAAAAAAATAGCTAGGTGTGGAGGCGCATGCATCTAGTTCCAGCTACTTGGGAGGCCAAGGTGGTGGGAGGATCATTTGAGCCCAGGAGGTGAAGGTGCTGGGGTTATAGTGAGCTGAGATTTTATATATATATAAATTATATCTATATTATAAATATATATAATTTTTTATTAATGATTAAAATTAAAAACAGGCTCACGAAATTTCTGAAAGTATAATAACTGGCTCTCCCAAGCCCATGTGGGTGAGCTCCAGCACCCTAGTCTTCTGCCAGTCCCCACAGTGATCTGAGAACCAATCCAACCCTTGCCCCTTGCACCCTTTCTGGAACTTTAAGAAAATATTCTCCTCTGAAGGGCAGAAACCTGCTTTCTGGATATATATCTTACTCCTCCAAAACTTAATTTATAGAAAAACATCTTCTCTTCCAGTTTTTATTATTATTCTAGTCTGGCCTTAGGTAATTACATTTCTGACCAGACCTGCACTATCTTAGAATTTACAGAACTAAACAGTTGCCCCTGTGTTTTGTATTGTGAGTCACATTTTGCCTAAAAGAATTTGCATCCCTTTAGAAGCTCCTAAAATTATAGCATTTCCTAGTCTAGGAACCAGTAACTTTGGGTAGAAGTTAAAATGGATATAAGGTCGCATATCTGAGTAGAATCGGGGAATTTACCTTTTAACTTAGTCCTAACATACATGGTATATTCTTGGACAAATGATTTCACTTATTTATACAAATCTCTATTTTCTCTCCTCTACAAACAAAGGAGGGTAATAATATTTGGTATTCTTAAAGTTTGTGAGGGCTAATATTGCTCAAGTGATTTAAGAACATTGGCTAATGGGGGTGTTGGAAATGTAGGTCATCATTTATCATCTGGACATGTATGTGAGGCATTAAACATTGTAATACCTTGTCTTTTTTTTTTTTGAGACAGAGTTTTGCTCTTGTCACCCAGGCTGGAGTGCAATGGCGCGATCTCGGCTTACTGCAACCTCCGCCTCCTGGGTTCAGGCAATTCTCCTGCCTCCCGAGCAGCCGGGATTACAGGCAAGTGCCCAGCTAATTTTTTGTATTTTTAGTAGAGATGGGGTTTCACTATGTTGACTGGGATGGTCTCGATCTCTTGAATACCTGTAATACCTTGAACTTTAAGCTTTGAAAAATGTACTTAGATGGTTAAGGCAAACTGAAACTACCAGGCAAAATCAGCATTTCAATTTTTATCTGCATTTTCTTTAACCACATTCTCCCTTTCTCCCTATGCCATAAGTAACTGAGAGGTCATAGCTTATTCAGACATGTTTTTCTTTGTTTCCTTTGGCTCTGGAATAGATAATGGTACCAGTGCCACCATTTCCATGTGTTTCCTTTCTGTGTTCTTCCTTTCTTACTCTGTGTTTTCCATTCTCTTTTTCTTTTACTTTTCCTCTACTCTTGCTTGCCAGAGTACATGTACAACCCAACATTTCAGCCTTGAATCAGTTTGAGGCATGAAGTTATATAACAATATATATGGTTCTCTATTAAATAGGAGGCAACTTGAATTTTCATGATCAATGAATCCATATTTATCACGCCATTGTATTAGATCATGCTTTTTCTGTTTCCAGGTTATTTCCAGGTTCTAACTTGTACCTTGTTATGGGTGCATACTAGCAACATACAGCCTTCTAACATTGATTATGTCTCCTTAATCATAAAACATGGGACAGGATACAGAATAGGGCACAGGAGGGTCACTCTGGCAAAGCATAGCTCTTGCATGATAAAGCTCATTCTATGTATTCTACAGAGTCCAGTTTGGTTTACTCTTTAGTCTCATGAGAATCCCAGCCTTCCCAGCCTTCCAGACCTCACTCACCTTCCTGTTATGAAGACACAAAGTGAAATCTATTTGATGCATGAGATTTAATTACTCTTTACTTGTACTGTATGTTAACATATATTTAGAAAGCTGCACCAAGTTGGGAAATATATTTTGCATTTTTAGTAGAATACCATACTTATACTATAAAGTTTTTGTTTTATGAGTATTTTATTGAGAAATAGCTGGGAAAGGGTTATCCAATTCAAGGTTTTATTTACCTTTTGTATATGTATGTGGGTTTGAAAGAGAAAATGCTTGCTTTTTTATCTGCTAAGATTAGTCACAAGTAATTCTGGCTAGGTTTGCTGAAATTCTTCATCCTAATGATGCAAACAAAAATCACAAAGCACAGAGCTTTAGGTTTCAGAGGTGACTCACAAAGTCTAGCAATCCATCTTGGAAGTCTGAGCAGGCCTATTTTTGGGCTGTTCTCCACACATGGCAAGGCTGAAGAATCCCAGGTGTTCTTGCTGAGAGCATAGTGAGAGCATGAGGATTGCCCTGAGAAGCAAGAAAATGCTCATTAAAGCAGGTTTCTGGTGGGCGATGACTCCGACTGGCAGGCCTGCATTTCTCCTAGTGGTGACCCCTTTCCTTGCTAGAGAAGGGGTCTGATGTCCAAATGTATCTGGGTTTAATGAGTAGCAGTTCACTAGGGACCCAGAGAGGGCAAAGTGCTTGCTTGGTGAACCAGGAACAGCATATTGTATTTTGTATATACGACACTGTTTAAATAATATAAAAGTTTTTCTTTTGTGAGACTCTTTCCATGCCTTAGTAAGTCCAGATGGCATGTATGGATATAGAAAACCTGTGGCTACAGAACAAGTGGACTAATCAGGTTGGCTGAATTAATGATTCTGACAAAATTCCTAAATTCTTGAAAATGATTTGATAACATCAACAGACATTTATTTCCCTATTGCAAATGAAGAGGGAATAAAATTAGGAATTCTTCCCATAGGTCTGCAGATATAGAATGGTTAATCAGGTGAAAAGATCTTAAAGTAACAGACAAGGGAATTAGGCCACCATACTGATTTTTTAATTGTTTTAATCTGTCAGATAATTATTAACAGCAAGCATACTTTGTCTTGCAGAGCATATTTCAACAAAATGGCAAATAATATGTATCTTGGTGAAACCAAAATTGAGTAATTGTATATAAAAGAATTGTGAATAGCAAAGTAGCAATTTATATGTGGCTGAGAATAGAATTTTATACAAAATATAGAGTGCAATATCTGTGTGAGAAAATGCATGACAACCACTACATTCCAGTCCTTGAGAAACACTACATGTATCATAAGCTAAGCTAAACATGAACTTGGCATTAAGTACATGAAAAAGTATTTTCATTTGGCATAATATAAGACTTGTCCACCACTCAAAAGTTGTTGTTGTTTTCTGTCAGTATTCTAAAAATAAATGTGAAAGCAGTTAAGGTATATAGAAAACTTTTCTACTATTATTAGCATAAAAAACAACTGCAAAGGAAAACTCTGTGCTTTCCAAATCAATGTGTTCAACACCCTCTTTATAGAATCAATTATGTCAACCATTTCATGATATAATTTGTTTTCTTCCATTCAAATGAAGTTCTAAATCTGTGAAATCTTAAATACTTAATACCTATTAGGCTATGTCTTATGCAACTCTGGCCAATTTCATTAATTTTTCTTTGCTTTAGTTTCCCATCTGAAAAATGAGGATCATTGATGTATTTTCACCTCTTCATCAACTGAGCACAAATAAAATATTTGTATGTAATAAAGGTATATGAAAGTGTTACTACTCTTATAATTTTTAATTATAACAATTTTTTAAATAAACATAATTTTCCAAATAGATGAGATGTAAGTATATGATTTAAGTTATCACTGAGCTTATCAGGTGGGCAGAGGAAGAAACTGATACACAGATATGTACTGACCACATTCTATATGCCATGCACTTTATATACACTATTTCACTCAACTGTCATTACACTTTGAGGCAAATACTACCATGAGATCTACTTTATAAATGGGAAAATTGGGACTCACATAAGCCATGTACCTTGCCTAAGTTCATGCACATGGAAAGTAAAAAAGACCAAGATGTGAACATAGTCCTGTTTGATTCCACAGCCTAAGGTCTTAGTCATGCTACTCTGTGAATGCCTCCCCCAACCCTAGTTTCCTGTTTATACCAACTGAGACTTTGAAATACTATATGAAGTCCTGTCTCAAAAAATAAATGGAATTTACTGTAGTTGACATCAACACATAATTTCTGAATTCTTGTTCCATTCAAAACTTTCAGCTGAAATGCATGCGCTTTTGTCATCCAAATAAAAATAAATTTAGAAGAATCCCATCATATGAGCTAGTAGGTGAGAGATATGAAACATATTTCTTGCTTTGTTAACTTTGTGGGTTTGATAAAAAAAAGCATTTCTTTTTTTTGTTTGTTTGAAAAAACAATGATATTTCTTTTTTTTTAATTGCATTTTAGGTTTTGGGGTACATGTGAAGAACATGCAAGACTGTTGCATAGGTACACATGTGGCAGTGTGATTTGCTGCCTTCCTCCCCTTCACCTATATCTGGCATTTTCCCCCATGCTACCTCTCCCCAACTCCCCACCCCCCGCTGTCCCTCTCCTATTCCCCCCAGTAGACCCCAGTGTGTGGTGCTCCCCTCCCTGTGTCCATGTGTTCTCATTGTTCAACACCCGCCTATGAGTGAGAACATGTGGTATTTCATTTTCTTTTCTTGTGTCAGTTTGCTGAGAATGATGTTCTCCAGGTTCATCCATGTCCCTACAAAGGACACGAACTCATCGTTTTTGATTGCTGCATAATATTCCATGGTGTATATGTGCCACATTTTCCCTGTCCAGTCTATCATTGATGGGCATTTGGGTTGATTCCAGGTCTTTGCTATTGTAAACAGTGCTGCAATGAACATTCGTGTGCATGTGTCCTTATAGTAGAACGATTTATAATCCCTTGGATATATACACAGTAATGGGATTGCTGGGTCAAATGGAATTTCTATTTCTAGGTCCTTGAGGAATTGCCACACTGTCTTCCACAGTGATTGAACTAATTTACACTCCCACCAGCAGTGTAAAAGTGTTCCTATTTCTCCATATCCTCTCCAGCATCTGCTGTCTCCAGATTTTTTAATGATCGCCATTCTAACTGGTGTGAGATGGTATCTCAATGTAGTTTTGATATGCATTTCCCTAATGACCAGTGATGATGAGCATAAAAAATGCATTTTCTTTGGATAATGTTTCAGTTCTCTTTGGATCACATTTCAATATCCAAATGTTTCAATTCATGAAAGCTTTAAACAAAACATTTAAGCAAATATTTCTTTATTATGTCAAGAAAAATATGTAAGCATGCATTATTTGGAAGTTTTGTTAATCAACAGAATTATATATTTTTTCACCTCTTTCATGTAAAAAATATTATAGTGGCCCAGAAAAATGACAGATGCCTACAGATTAGGAATAATCTGTGAAATAAGTAAAATAAATAAGCTACTGACTGACTTCATTAGTACTTAGTACATAAATTTTGAATCTAACTAAATAGTTTAATTTTGGTAATTTTCCCTAACAATTTGTTTATGTTTGTTTGAGACAGTCTTGCTGTATGGTCCAGGTTGGAGTGCAGTGATGTGATCTCAGCCCCCACCCCTCTGCTCCTGGGCTCAAGTGATCATCCCGCCTCAGCCTCCGAAATAGCTGGGACTATAGGTATGCATCATCATGCTGAGCTAATTTTATTTAACTTAAAACATTTTTTCTGTAGAGATAAGATCTCACTATATTGCCCAGGCTGGTCTCAAACTCACGGGATTAAGTGATCCTCCCACCTCAGCCTCCCAAAGTACTGGGATTACAGGCATGAGCCACTTGCCTGGTCCATAACAGTTATTTTTAAGGGAAATACATAAATTAGATAAATTTTTAGAAAAACTAAAACAAATATACTTTAAATATAGGGAAGAATGATTACAGTGGTCATTTTTAATACGATTTTCTTAAAGGAAGAATGCATATTTGTGTTGACAAAACATGGTTAGAAAAAATTTTTTAAACTTGTAATAATATAAACTGCTATTGCTTTCAGCTAGAAAAAAATATATTTTTTTCCAAAAATGTATTATATTTAAATGTTTGAGCCTCCTAGAACAGGGTGGCTTGGTTTTCTGAAACATGTATTTTTTCTTAATGATATATTATAAACAATAAGTGTCACAGTGAGTTCAACTCATTTTTGAAAGTCCTAGAAGAGTACAAAATGGAGAGCTACAATAAACACCAGGGAAGAAAGCAAATTATTCAGAAATAACCACCTTATTTAAAAGCTTCATCCAAATGAGGATTTTTGTGTAATGTAAATAAACTTCTTTTTACTAAAAGTAGACAGTTACCATTATTATTAACACTTTATCTGCAGGAGGTACAATTTTCCCAATTCTAAGTAGTAGCACAAAAATGCCCAACAATTGTTCTTCCTAGAAAAAAACTGCGGTATTCAATTTGTATTTATTCTATTATTTTGCAAAATCACTGGAACATTAAAAAAGTACACCATAGAAAGTTTCACTCTACATGAAACTAGGTTTCCAAAAGAACTATTTTCCAGCCTGCCAGCTGTTTTCCTCCTTTATTGTAAGTTAACAGTAGTGATATATCAAGGATATTGAGAATGTACAAATGTGTTAAGTCTCCTGTTGCCTTGTGTGTAAGTATCTTATTCATTTGCAAAAAAATATGTACTCAAGTTTGTACTTGGCATCTTCCAACTGAAAAGCTACTTTAAGATACATAATTTGTTTTCCGTTATTCTAATTTCTGCTACTAGATTCTACCTCAGCCTGCAACTGACAACCAAAGAAAATGAAAACATTCATTTATTTGCTTTCATCAAAAACACCACCCAAAATGAATTTGTTAATGTTAAATTAGTTCTATAATCTTCCAGTTCATTTTAAGTGAGTCCTGAAAGAGTTATCCAAGATAAAAGAGAAACGCTGACAGAATCTGATGGCACAAGAGGGAACTATCCAGGCAGAAAATCTCACAGCCCCAGCACAGCTTGGTGGTTCAAGAGTAGGAGAGTTAGAAGTGAAAATATACACACCCATGCTCACACGCGCACACACACACATTCATGTGCACAGGGACACATATACACAGAACATAACATCAAGGAGATTCCCCTCATGCTTGGAATTGCTTTAACAGACACTCTGCACATCAAAATGTGGCTAAATCAGCTGTGTTCAAAAGAGAAGCAGAGAGGTCAGTGTCTTTCCCGGAAAAAGTTCAACGTTGGAAGCCCGTTGCAGCTACATCTGAGGTTCACTTGCCCATTCCTGCCAAAAGTACATGCCTCTTAACCCTTTGCAGTCTATTACGCCTTCTCAAAATGAGGCTAATAATAGTCCCAAGACTTCATTTTGGTTTTACACAGCATCCACTAGATTGCATCTCTAAGTGTTATGTGACCTGGGCAAGAGCCAGTAGTATGGGCTATTATTATCAGAGGTATTAAAAGCTCAGAAAATCAGTGAGCTGAGAAGTCAGTACTATATACTATACTCAATACAATCTTAATCCCTTGATCAATACCATAAAGATTGAAAGCTAAATTAATTTAAAATTAAATCTAGGGCAAAACCCTGTATCTTGATAAAAGAAGTTCAAATTTCTGAGCAATAAAACATATTAAATTGCAACATCACTAATTCCTTTTCTTTTACTCTGCCTTACTCTAGGAGGTTTTGGTGCTGTCATTCTGATTACTACTGTTTTTTATTTTTTTTGAGACGGAGTTTCACTCTTGTTACCCAGGCTGGAGTGCAATGGCGCGATCTCGGCTCACCGCAACCTCCGCCTCCTGGGATCAGGCAATTCTCTTGCCTCAGCCTCCTGAGTAGCTGGGATTACAGGCACGCGCCACCATGCCCAGCTAAGTTTTTTTTTTTTGTATTTTTAGTAGAGACGGGGTTTCCCCATGTTGACCAGCATGGTCTCGATCTCTTGACCTCGTGATCCACCCGCCTCGGCCTCCCAAAGTGCTGGGATTACAGGCGTGAGCCACCGCGACCGGCCTGTTTTTTTAAGCTTCTTAATTAATGTTTTAAGTTTTGTACTTTTATATTGAGGGCAGTTAAAGGAAACAATTTTGGACAAATAAAAAGTGTTACCCAAGCAGTTCTTCAGTTTAGCCAGCTGCACAGGTGTAATGGAGCACTTGGCACAGTTCCATGTAGCCTCTGGCATTCTGAGAATATTCGTTATGAAGCGCAATCAGGACATTCATCTTAATGGATGCAGATGACTGAAGTCCTCTGGCTGGAGACCATCCCTTCATATCCGTATAGCTCCAGTCACCAAAAGCTTCCTCAAGACATCCCAAGGTACAAAGCCACAAAGTATAATCAGGATGGTGAGAGGAGGGCTCTGTGCTAGAGCAGAGGCCAGAATGAAGGCTTAGTACAGTGCTGGACATAAAGTGGATACTCACTAAATGCCCAACTGAGGTTAAATCAATCTGCTATGGGGAAAAGGAAAAGAGGACGAGAGCAGGGGTTAAAAATGCTGAGTACTAATATATTACAAAATGTCCTATTATTATGTAATGAGCACTCAGCTGTGTCTCTGATACCACATAACCTTGATCCTAACACCTCTGTTGAAGTTCTGTGGCTCAACCTGCCTGTTCTTTCTTAGAGGTTTATTTTTAATTACTTTGATTTTGTAATTAGGGAGTTTTTCCTACCATAGAAACTGAGATTGACATGCTAATGAGGAGACAGTGAAAATCTGAGAATTTAAAGTGAAATAAAAATCTCTTTAGGCTAGCAACTGACTTGACATCCTTGTAGCTTATGATAAAGGTATAACTTTTAGTTAAGATTTGTGGTCCTCACTGCTGACCTCAGAGTTGATCTTTAAAGAACTTGAAAATATGACAAATGAACCTTGACAGAAATACATTTAATGACTAGTCTGCTGACATCCACAGGTAAGGCAGAGAAAACTGCCAGTTCTCAAAAAAACTAATTTGCATCTAGCTCTCCCCCTCAGGAGCTGCCTCCGGGGTCTTGTTCACATTCACCAGAAGCAGCGCTGCTGGGTGAGCCCTGGTCCCACGCCCGGGCACCCTGTACCATCTATCTGGAGCCAACACAGTGAGCCAGAGGAGTCAGCTCCTAACTTGTTAAATTGCAGTTTGTAACCACTGAGATAAATATTTACTTCCTTTAACCTTTACTTATGTTAGATGATTTTACTCAGGAAATGAGGAAAAATCTGCTTTGTAGAAATATCTGTTAAATTTCTGTTCAATGTCCAAAGTTCAACATTTTGAAAGGAAAGGAAATAAACAAACAAACAAAAACACTCTCTACATAATGAACATCTCGTCTGTTGTTAGTTACAGGATTAGTTCTACTTAAGTTTCTCCCTTTCCCACTCTGGGGTGTTTATGAAAGGCCAGTAAGTAATTAGCCTGAATGTCTGCAGTAGGGTATCAAACACAAATCTAGCATTAGAAAGGCATAAGCTCCTGTGAAATTCCAAACACAGTATTAATTACTTGTTAAGAGTAATTAATGAAAATGGCTGCATTTACATATCTTCAAAGACTTGGAAAAGACTCATTTCAAGTTTCCTTACATACACAAATCCAAAATATGAACTCGTATTTTAGGTTTGATGTCTGCAGTTGACTCTAGTTTAAACTTGTTGTGTCAGAGTGATAGAGCTATGGAGTTAGTAAGTGCACAAAAGAAAAATGTTTTGGAAAATGTACCTGAGTTAAAATCTCACATTATTGCAGTTGTGAATTGTTTAGTATTCAATGATAGCCTTTCCTGATGCCAGCATTTCATGAGTAATTTATGTGTAATTAAAATGATCTATCAGACACTTTTCCAAATGCATTTTCTTTTTTCTCTTCCTCTTCAATCTTGTTATTCAAAGTGTAGTCCCCAGGCCAACGGCTTCTGCACTAAGTTTGTTAGAAATGTAGAATCTGGCTCCACACCAGACCTGCTCAAACAGAAACTACACTTTAACGAACACTCTGAGTGATTCCTCTACACACTACAGATTGAGAGGCACTGTTCTAAAACACAACTACACATGTTTCTTGTAAAGGAGAGATGGGTTTTTAAAATTTTCAGAACTAATAATTAAAGTCAAATTTTTTAAAATTCAAAATCATTTCATATTTAAATCAATAATGAATGAAAAGGACGTTTAACATGACTCTTAAATTTTTCTAGAAATCCCCGCCATCTTGTTAGAGGTTTGTTATAACAGTCCCAATATGCAATAAACAAGTTACAAACAAAAGGATAATTCTTGATGTCAAATATAATAGCAACAACTAGTTTTGTCTGATACAATATTTCAGATAGGCCACGTTTATTATTCTGCCCTCATTTATCAAATATTATGCATCCTGTATGCAGTATTTTCAGAATTTGTGATAATGAAATTACGCTGCAAATCCTCTGACAAAATTATAAAAAGCTTTGTTCAGAACAAGAGTAACCTCTACTGGATTGTGATTGTCTTTTGAAAATCCAAAACAAAATTGAGAATCTCTGTATTTACAAAGAAAGGGCAACTGTTCCATTTACTTGGAGATAATCTACCTTCATTTTTTGAACTAAACTAAGACTCCTAATGAATAATATGCTTGTATCCTGAAGAACACATTATCTAAATGATAATGTAACAATTTACTGTCAAATCATGAAATCAGATTTATTTAATCCAGTCACATATTTTCTACCTAAATTTAAATATTTTAATGCATCATCTTCAATCATCTAACAATAAACTAGTTTCAGGAAAAAAAGTTAAAGGGAAATAATGATCTGAAGATAAGAAAACTATGTTGATTTAATTCTTGTTCCCATTTATCAAAAAATTTCCCAAATATATAACAATGAAGAATTTTTTTGTAATTTTTAAAACTTCATTTAAAAAAAAAAATCCAAAATTTCTTTACCCCTTGGTAAAGTACAACATAATTGCATATTAAAAATAGCATGGGCATTGCTAATATGAGGTCTTATCTCCATTCTGTCCGTAACATCATTTGATCCTAGAGATGCTTAAATGAGAGTCAATCAGAGGAAAACTACCTTATGCAATCAAAATTGTTAAGCAGTTTTATCTTAAGTTTAAAGAGCAGTGATATGAAATGCATAATATTCTGTACTTCTAATTTTGACTTTGTAAATTACATGTTCTTGTTGACAGGACAGAAAATTTAACAGGAAAAAAAGTATAACCACAAGAAAGTATACAGTATATGTAAAAAGAGAAGATGTTCTTCAGAAAAGAAAGCATAGTTTTCATTATAGTTCTTTCTACTCAAAAACTTTCCATAGCTTACTGTTTCTGATTGCGTAAATTCTAAGCTTTTAAGCATGGCTCCAAAGTTTTCCATGACCTTGTCCCAAATCTTACCAGTTACCTCTTCCTATTTGCCATCCTCTCTTATTTGAACCAAACCAAACCATTTGCTATTTCCCTAGTGCAACCTAAGGTTTTCCATTAAACACTTCTGCTCAAGTTGTTTATGTGCATTGGGATAGTCTCTCTTCAGCACCTCACCCTGCCTTACTCCCCATTATGACCCGAAAATACTGCTACTCTGTCAGTTAGAATGCTTATAGCTTCTTGTAACAGAATACTCAACTAACTGTGCCTTAAACATAAACATTTATTACCTCTCATAGCAAGAAGTCTGAGCTAGAAGGAGCCATGTGATTTCCATCATTCTATTTTGCTGTCTTTGGCATGTTGACCATTGTCTTCAGGCTTCTTTCCTTATAGTCAACAAGGTAGCTGCCACTACTTCAGGCATTACATCCTCACATATCTATTTCAAAAGAAAAGGAGAGGTCGGGCGTGGTGGTTCATGCCTGCAATCCCAGCGCTTTGGAAGGCTGAGGCAGGTGGATCACCTGAGGTCAGAAGTTCGAGACCAGTCTGGCCAACATGGTGAAACCCCATGTCTACTAAAAATACAAAATTAGCCAGGCATGGTGGCACATGCCTGTAATTCCAGCTACTTGGGAGGCTGAGGCAGGAGAATATCTTGAACATAGGAGGTGGAGCTTGCAGTGAGCCAAGACTGTGCCATTGCATTCCAGCCTAGGTGACAAGAGTGAAACTCTGTCTCAAAAAATAAAATAAAAAGGAAGGGGAGAGAAGTTCTTCTGATACTTCTTTTTTATAAGAGAAGGAAAATGTTTTCCAGCATGCCCTCAGTAGACCTTTGTTAAGGTGCCAATTGAAAAAGAAACCATCCATGCCCATTCTCTAGCTTCACAGGAGACAGGAAACACAGCATTTTGGCCTATAAAATGAATAGCCTCTATACTATCCAGAAGGAAGATGGGGGTGTGGGGAATAGCTGTTACGTAGACAATCAGCAGTTGCCTCTAGTACTCTAGTCCTCCAAAGCCCAAATTCAGTAACATTGACTCCATGGAGTCTTCTCCGAGTCATCCAAATAAAAATAATCTTTCCTTTGGGTTTTCCTAACCCTGTGTACCTTTCTATTCACATTTTGCTTTGTATTATAGTTATCTGTGTATTTGCCCAATTTCTATTATAAGAAGGTACCAACTCCATCTTATTCATCTTTTGTTCCCCATATACCCTGGCATAGTCCTTGACCCTTAGAAAGTCTTGGATAAGTATCTTCTGAAACCTCACTAATGTGAACCACAGTGAGATGATTCATTTTAGCTTCAGAAGGAAAAACAATAACTCACACAGCCCAAAAGGAAACGCAAGGCTTTCACCATAGTTACAGTTAATAGATATTTTGTTTTTCAGTAAGCAAACTACATGGTTAAGAGTCAGAAAAAAAAAAAAAAAAAACCAGCCAGGTATAGTGGTTCACGCCCGTAATCCCAGCACTTTGGGAGGCCAAGGTGGGCGGATCACCTGAGGTCGGGAGTTGGAGACCAGCCTGACCAACATGGGGAAACCCTGTCCCTACTAAAAGTACAAAAATTAGCCGGGCACGGTGGCAGGTGCCTGTAATTCCAACTCCTTGGGAGGCTGAGGCAGGAGAGAATCACTTGAACCTGGGAGGCAGAGGTTGTGGTGAGCCGAGATCACACCATTGCACTCCAGCCTGGGCAACAAGTGCAAAACTCTGCCTAAAAAAAAAAAAAGTCAGAGAAACAAAAATATAGAAAAATGGAGGTTATCCCCTCTCCTGACACACACACACACACACACACACACACACACACACACACACACACACAGAGAGAGAGAGAGAGAGAGACAGACAGACAGAGACATAAAAGGCATCCTGGAAAGACTGGTCCACTTGTTACTGGAGGACAAAGTGGAGCCTCCCAAGGGCTCATCCTCAAAGGATTCTAGACTCAAGCCAATTTAGACCAAAAGGATTAGGGCTGCCTACTAGGCACAGAGGAACAATAAGGCTAGAAATTTCCTGAGAAGTCGGTGGAACAAAGTTTCCATATCACTTCTTGATTCAAACCTCCTCTCTTAAAAATGAAAGAAAAATACATGTACCTCGACTCTGAGTTTTCTACCACTCACAGTTGAACCTAATCCAAATTCATGCTCTCAGTCTCCCATGGAGACTATTGCCAGAATCTCCAGAAGCCACTGCCAGTAAGAAAGTCCACTTGAGTCAAGCCTCAATCTGGCTTGGAGGGCCACTCAACTCAAGGATTGGCCAAAACTAGTCCCATCTACTCACGTACCATCGACTCTCTGAACTCAGTTCTTTGAGCAAAATGCTGGCTGCAAACTGAGTTTCTCAAGCAAGACAAGGACAGTAACAAATTGTCAAATATCCTAAACATCAACATTGCTAGTTATGTTTAGTTAAATGCCACTTTTTTCCTCATAGAATTGAGTCAGGTTTCCTCAATGCCAAAGCAATTACCTCCAATCAAGGGGTAGATGACACACACAGAAAAATCTGACTCAATGGTTCTTTGCTTTTTTGTTTGTATTGTTACATCACTTACCAAAGATCCTTAGACTAACACTATGGCAACGTGCACATGCAAAACAGTCAAGCGTAGGGGAAGAAAAGTGAAGTCAATCTAAAAATTCAGCTTCTGTCTTATTCTAAAGGTCAAGTTAATTGAAAAAAGTTGTTTCTTTGGACTGAATGGTAATTTTGGTTTTATGATGAATAAAGCCAGTTAAAATAAGAAGCAGCTGATTTGTATGTGAAGAGGCAGGTTATCTGAAAAATACCTTGATTGCAGTGTACATCAGGTCAATTTACATAAGCAGCAGAGGAATCCTTAAAGCTGGGCCTTGGTGGGGACACAGGAGTTACCACTCAGGCAGACAAAGAAAGACAGAAATGCTTGTTCTCAGCTTTTCTACCCAGAGGACAACTGCCCAGCTAAGATTAAGCTGAAAAGACATGACAAAGTTTTCTAAACTCTGAAAGGAGAACTTTTTAACCATCTGATTCATATGATAAATGCAGACCTCAGATTAAGGTCAATACAGTCAAAACAAGGCTTGAAATGTCTTACTACATTGGTCTTATACCAATATTCAAAACTAAGTTTCACTTTCTGGAAACCATTTTCCCAAAAATGGATGCAGCCAATAGCATAAAACTGATCATTTAATGTCACAAAGGAAATTTATGAGCTCGTCTAGAAAGTCAAAGTAAAACAGTATTACTATTCTTTTAAGGGAAGTGCTTGAGCTGTTGTATTTTTTTTTAATTTTTAGATTTGCAAATGGCATTCTTATGCTCCTCTTTTCCACACACAATATCTTAACTAGGGTCTTATTTTATTTCCATTCTTCACATATGTTAAATGCCATCAAAATGTAGTGATTGTTTATAGTATAACATCAAAAAATATTTTTTAAAAACTTTGAAATTGAATTATTTATTTGGGTCACTTAGCCCATAATCCCACACACCATACATGCAGAAGAGAAACCTGTTATATATATATACTACCCCTCCCTTTTCTCCTCTCACCCCACATCTGGGCAAACTAATAAATCCACAGTTATTCCCATTTCCTACTTCGTACTCCTTCACAACCCCCTCCTACTTTGGCATGAACAGCAATTAGAGAAACAGAGGGAATTCAAACCAGGGAAACCTAGGAACCCTTATCCTGGTCTAACCTTTTACCCCCAACATAATCAGAGCCACTTTCCTCTCTTTACTTAAGCCCTTCTATACTAGCTTGGATGTCTGCCCTGCTCTCTCCAGAAAGTCCCATTATATGGGTAATAAACTGTTACATACCCTCTTGGGGTGTGTGGGTGTGATTATTCTCAATTTTAATATTCAAACCACTTTGGTGGGGGCATGGGGAGATGATGATCCTGCCATCCACAGGGCAGCCAAATAGCAACTGGCAGACTGAACTGCATTGTCTAGTTGATGACCACCACCACCTAAGAGTCTTTCTTTTCTTGATCTTGGCTTGCTCACTGTCTGTCATGACAATTATTCATGTCTCTCCTTTACCACTGAAACTACTGCCTTAACTAAATTTCCCATGGTCACAGTGCCTATTGACCCAAAATATCCCATAGTGTGCATGAATTCTTTGACCTCACAAGTAATAAATCGAAATAAAATTAAGTTTTTGGCACTTAAAATTGGCTTAACAAAATGAGACCCCATGGACCTTCCCTCGAAGCTAATTAGTTAATACAGTTCAATATAGATTAAACCAAGACCATGGACCTTCCCTCACAGCTAAAATAGTTAATACAGTCCAATGTAGATTAAACCAAGACCTATAGGAATTAAAGTCCTCCATATAAGACTTCCAAAAGAAAGGCACCATCATTCCTGCTATTTTTCCTTTTAATTGCCCAGTTTAGCTAATACTCAGACTTGATAAAAATGAATGGCATATAACAGCAGATTATCACAACCTTAATGGTGTGGTACCCCAATTAAGGCTCTCAGACCCAAATTTATTGAAATTACTGATTCTATACAATCAGTAACTAGAAAATGCTTTTCTAATATACATGTGGCAAATATGTTCTATTAAGTTTGTATTTCAACAGCCTCTCAGTTCCAATTTGCCATCACCTTCAAAGGGATACAGTACAACTTTACCTGACTGTCCATGAGATATCTCAACAATCCTGCCCTCCCACACAAACTCTGCTGCCATGATCTTCATCACACCCACCTTCCTCCAGAACACAGATATGATATTACATTGACAGCATCCTCCTTTTGAAGGATTCATTTGACATACTCATTCAGAAAACACAAATACAAAAAGTAATGGGTATTGCCCAACAAAAAGGGAAAGGCCCTGCCATATCAGTTAAATTACTAGGAATTATTTTGTCAGTCAAGGACTGCTCCATCTCTGACAGTCAGAAAACAATTAGTAGCCTTCTCTTAGCACCCAAAATGTTAAGAGAAGCAAACAATCTTTTAGGACTTTTTAGGTTTCTGAAGGCAACATATTCCTCATTTAGAAATTTTACTGAAGTTCACTTAGAAATTATACTTAAGTTCACTTATGCTGCTACTTGCAAATTGGTCCATGATATAGTTTGGCTGTGTCCTCACCCAAATCTCATCTTGAATTGTAGTTCCCATAATTCCTACATCATGGGAGGGAACTGGTGGGAGGTAACTGAATCATGGGGGTGGTTACCCCCATGTAGCTCTTCTCATGATAGTGAGTTCTCATGAGATCTGATGGTTTTAAAAGGGGCTTTTCCCTCTTTTGTTTGGCACTTCTCCTTGCTGCTGCCATGTGAAGAAGGACGTTTTTGCTTCCCCTTCTGTCATGATTTTAAGTTTCCTGAGGCCTTCCCAGCCATGTTGAACTGTGAGTCAATTAAACTTTTCCTTTGTAAATTACCCAGTCTCGGGTATGTCTTTATTAGCAGCATGAGAACAGACTGATACAGTAAATTTGTACCAGCTAGTACGGTGCTGCTATAAAGATACCCACAAATGTGGAAGTGACTTTGGAACTGGGTAACAGGCAGAGGTTGGAACAATTTGGAGGGCTCAGAAGAAGACGGGAAAATGTGTCTCTTCCTAGACTTGGAGGGCTCAGAAGACAGGGAGATGTGAGATAGATTGGAACTTCCTAGAGACTTTTTCAATGGCTTTGACCAAAATGCTGATAGTGATATGAACAATAAAGTGCA